CAGGAAGATCCCGGGTGTCCTCACCGGGACGTGAACCTTCTAGCTGTGAGGCGACGGTGCTAACCACTGAGCCACCTGCAGCCTGCATTTATGACTCCAAAAACAAAACCACGCTTTTCAAACGATCCCCACCAGAGAAATATTTTTACATAAAGTTAAAGAAGGACTCAACCGAAGCGCTGTTCTTACCCTCCTCCGCCATTCGACGTCGCAGGTCCTGCTGCAGCCGGCTCTGCGTGTCCTCCAGTTCCAGCTCCTGGGCGCTGAATGAACATATTGCAAATAAATTAGCATATTTCTGTATTTCTGTAAGACGCTCGCGAACCGACGCGGCCACTCACAAGATCATGAGCTCCGACTCGTATCGGGCCAGTCGGTTCTTCTCCAGGACCAGTTTGAACCAGGACTGGTACAGCTGGGCCTCGTCCGCGTCCGTCTGGCTTGGTTCTGGAAGCACAGAGGGAACAAAGGAGAGAGCAGAGGAAAATAAATGAACCCAGCGGGGTTGAAAAGAAAATATTTCAGAGTTGTGTATCAATTATGTAAAAGTCAGCGCGAGAAGAAGAAAAAAAAAAGAAAAGTGGAATTAAACTTCAACCACACACACGCGTAGAGGTCGTGTGCTCTGCTGCAACCTGCCGAGACCTCAGCATTCAGCCCAACACAAACAAAGCTGCGCTGGAAAAAGATGAAGCAACAATGAAGCCTCAGCGTCTATTGTGAGCGCAGCCATTAACTGCATGTAGAGGCTTTCAACCAGAGCGGGATTACAAGGCAAAGCTTTTCTCTAAGTGGTCCGAGAAGTACGGGCACACCGCAATTAAACCCGACGAGAGCGGAGGAAAAAAAAAAAAACGAACGAGGCTTTCACTGAGGAATGCCATTGAGCTGCATTGTGGCGTTAGATTGAATCAAGGTGTTACGGTTCACATGAAAGCGGCGCTGCGACGTCTTGCCGAGGTCTTTGTGAGTCGCTGCTCTCGGTGTGTTAAGTACCAGTTTCTCCTCTTATGGTCTTTTCTATCGTCACTCCTCTCTCCTCCACGTCCTTCTGCTTCTCGCCGACTTCCTCCAGTTGTCTCTGGATCACCTGGAATCACACACAGACAATCGCCGGGAGAGAAAACCTTTGAAAAAGAAATCTAATAAAATCTTCCGCCTGTGCCAAACAAATCCAGACTGGCTGAAGTGAATTTCTCTTTCTGTACAGCGTCCTTGTTATTCTGGGTAATTTAATGAACACATTATGGAGCGTTTTCAGAGGCAGAAAGTGGAGACATGAATTATTCAGAGGACCGGTCCTGGAAAGAGATGTAAATGTCATTTTTTCAATGCTGCGAGCAAGTGAATGCAATAGTTCATTTACCGTCATTATAAATGGGGTTATGGAAGAAATCTCAGGGGCAGCTATCAGCAGACGCTACCTGCACGGACGGACTGCACTACAGCTGAAGGATTTCATCATAGATTTATTCAAGAGCTCAAAAATAGCTTCGGCTTTAATTACTTTCTGCAGCTCGATGTTAGCCGACCTGCTTGTGCGCTCTTGTTTTCTGCTATTTGAGTGTGATGGTGCCTTTCCTCCTGCCTGCATGGACGCTGCTGCGCTGACAGGAAGCAGCCTTTCATCAGGAGGATGACGAATAAACTAATCTTCAACCTTGAAATGTGCTCGTTCCTTTTTCCTGCTGAGAGCTGCACTTACAAAAGCAGAATGTTTGCAGCAGGTTTGTGGGTTAAAAAAAAAAAAAAAGACTTTAGTTTGCTAAAAATAAATAAATAAAATAACATAAAATGTCACAAGTTTGGCAGTAAAAATTGTGACAATAACGAGAAGTTTGCTGCTACTGGTTAGCTTAGCTTAGCATCAATACTGGTAATAGCTATACAAATAAACAGCTAGCCTGGTTCCATCTGAAGGTGTCGTAATCCTCTAATCAGCACCTCTGAAGCTCATTAATAAGAAAACAGTCCAGATAAACAGTTGAAATTGTTAGCTAACAGTACCGGTAAACGGTTTAAACTGTTAGCGAACAGTACGGATAAACAGGCAAAATTGTTCGCTAACAGTACGGATGAACAGTTTAAATTGTTGGCTAACAGTATGACTGTCGGTGCAAATTGTTAGCTAAAGGTTTGGCTAACAGGCGAATTGTTAGCTGACTGTAAGGCTAACAGTTGAAGTTGCTAGCTAACAGTATGGCTATCTGTTCAAATTGTTAGCTTAAGATCTGGTGAACAGGAGAATTGTTAGTTAGCAGTCTGGATACAGTTGGACTCTTTACCTAAATGTATGGCTTAAAGTTGAAATTGTTGGCTAACAGTATGACTGTCGGTGCAAATTGTTAGCTCGAGGTTTGGCTAACAGGAGAATTGCTAGCTGACTGTAAAGTTAACAGTTGAAGTTGCTAGCTAACAGAACGGATAAACAATTGAAATTGTTAGCTAACAGTATGAGCAAACAGTTTAAATTGCTAGCTAACAGTATGGCTGTCTGTTCAAATTGTTAGCTAAAGGTTTGGCTAACAGTTGATATTGTTAGCTAACAGTGTGGATACACAGTTGGAATTTTTAACTAAACATATTGCTTAAAGTTGAAATTGGTAGCTAACAGCAAGGCTAACAGTTGAAATTGTTAGCTAAACTTGAAACTGACGGATAAAATGGTGGCTAACAGTTTAAACTGTTAGTTAAAAGTGTTGCTAATAGCTAAAATCGTTAGCAGACAATATGGCTACCAGTTGACACTGACTTTAATGTGGGACAATAACATAAAATATAGAGAATGATTTCCTTTGCGCAGACCAAAGGTGTCGATTAAAGCTGTTGTCTAATGCATCTGAATCCAGGAGAGAGATGGAAAATAAAACCTTCTCTGTGAAATGTGTAGAAACTGAATCCAGCCATAATAAACACATTTCCAGTCTGTGTTGTATTCATCCAAACACACGTTTCTGCTTTAAAAGCTTCAGGTCAGCGTTACAGAAAGTAAAGTACACGAGGATCACTGGTAGCGAGAAGCTCGTCGGTCGGACGGATATTAGTCTTTTTCATCATTTCATCAGGTCACACTGACGGATTCAGGGACGTAAAAACCAAAGGAGGCAGAGAACCTGAGCTCTGTGGAGCCTCTTGAGCTGCTCTCGCTTGGCCTGCTGGGCCACCGTCTTCTCCTGCTTCTTCCTCAGCTTCTCTGGACACAGCTGGGACCAGAGCACACAGCGTTTTATTAGAAACACACAAACGTGGAATAAACAGCGTATAGACAACGCTTCGGAAACAATCTGAACAAACCTTCTGATTAGATGCTTCATTGTCATCGTCACTCGAGGAGGCTTCGTCCAGGTTCTGCTGACTGGATGCTACAGGTGTGAAAATAAACAGCGAGAAGAGTTTAGACAGTAAAACAACTGTTGTCTTCATGTATAACTTGTGATCGAATTGTTCCTTTGCATTAAAATAACATTCAAACACACAACAGAAGGTATTTTATAGATCCCTTCTTGCTTTCATATGTTTACGGCGACTCAGGTTGTTGAACCATATTCTCAAACATAACAGTGTGACTTTCTTCACGTCTTTCAGAAGATGCTGTAATTATTTAACTCCTGCAGGTTGGCGAACTCGATTAATTCTGCAGGAAGACGAAGAAGAAACTAGATTGAAAGCTCGGCCCAGTTTAACAATAAGAAATATTAAATCAAATAAATAAATAAATAATTGCCTTGAGGTGCTGTGTGGCTTTTAAGAAGAGAAGTCGTCGT